ACCCCTTGACTTTTATATACTTTGAACTAGACAAATAGAACCAGTTTTGAACTAGTTATAATTTGTTTTAACTTGGTTTTGGATTTTTATGTTCAATTGAACTTTAATTTGTTAGTTTTAAAGTATTAATTAAATGTTTTGGTTGTTGTTGTTGTGTTGTTGTTGTTGTATTTTTGTTATTGTTGTTGTTGTTGTTGTTGTTGTTGTTGTTGTTGTTGTTGTTGTTGTTGTTGTTGTTGTTGTTGTTGTGTTGTTGTTGTTGTTGTTGTGTTTTTGTATTGGTATGCTGGCAGGTGGTTTAGCTGCCAAAACAGGCATTTTATGTCAAAATTAAACCCAGAAAAATCGACCAAAGTTGGTCGATTTTTAATAAAAAAAAAAAATTATTCCAAAATACCGACCAAAGTTGGTCGGTTAATGAACATTGAATTCCCAGAATTCAACACTACCGTCCAACTTTGGTCGGTATTTTGCTTGCATTGTTGAGATTACCGACCATAGTTGGTCGGTAATGTTTAATTTTAATTAGTTTTAAAAAATATATATTTTCAATTACCGACCAAAGTTGGTCGGTTTTTTTTAATTTTAATAATTAATAAAAAAAAGATAATCCGACCAACTTTGGTCGGTAAAATTAAATTAATAAAATATGTTTCCGACCAAAGTTGGTCGGTAAGTAATTAAACTTGTCAGATGGTCGTTTTAATATACCGACCAAAGCTGGTCGGTAATTTCCGACCAACTTTGGTCGGTAAGCCGTTCCGACCATCAAAATACCGTCCACACCGTAAAGGTCGCGTTTTGGTCGGTAATTTGCCATAACCGACCAACGTTGGTCGGTATTTTTGGTCGGTTTTTAGCGAATTTCTAGTAGTGTCGGCATTATTATCATCACCATCACTTGTTTCTATTTGTGACAAATCCTTCATCAAACCTTCTACTCTCACCCCTTCTACACTTAGATTTTACAAGCTATCTTTCGTCGATCAATCCTTCAGTAATATGTATATTCCTGTGGCCTTTTTTTACCCTAAACCGCAAAGAGAAGAGTCAAACAATTCTCAACTTTCCCATATAGCTGATTTGTTGCAGACATCTCTGTCACAAACTCTAGTCTCTTACTATCCTTACGCTGGAATATTGAGAGACAATGCTACTGTTGAGTGTAATGACATGGGAGCTGAGTTCTTGAGTGTTAAAATAAATTGTCCTATGTCTGAAATCCTTAACCATCCTCATGCAACTGATGCAGAGAGTATAGTTTTTCCAAAGGACTTGCCTTGGAAGAATAATTATGAAGGTGGTAATTTACTTGTGGTTCAATTAAGTAAGTTTGATTGTGGGGGAATAGCCATTAGTGCATGTTTATCGCGCGATGGTTGCTCTGTGATTAATTTTCTTAATCATTGGGCTAATGTCACTCGTGATCGTAGATTTGTAGTTCCTTCTCCTAGATTTGTAGGTGAGTGCGTAAGACTCATTTTTCCAACCGTCAAATTGGATGCTCTTCAAGCTAAGGTAATACTACCACCAGTTCACTTTTATGTCTTTTAAAATTTGTGCACATTACTTTTTAGAAAGATATTCGGTACTCCCTCGTTGTCATTTATATGGCATAGTTTGACCTTTGCACGAAGTTTAAGAAAGAACAAAAAATTAAATCTTAATATTTGTGTGACTATAAAACTTATCATTAAAGGTAAATTAGAAGCTTAAGTTAATTGTTACAAATTTAGGAAGGTGTCAGAAGTTCAAATTAATTTATTTCCAAATTTAGAAAAGTGTCAAACGAAGGGAGTAGTCTCAACTATAGAGTACAGTCAAACCTCTTTAGAAAAACCTTGTTTGTTTCTGATTTTTTTGATTGTTATAGCGAAATGTTGTTATAAAGAACATATATTATAACATAGCATGAAAATTGGTTCCAAAGAAAATTTGGCTTTTATAGTGAATGGTTGTTATATGACGATATTGTTATAGAGAGGTCTTACTGTATTTGTTAAAGGTACTCTTAAATGTTTCACCTACTTAAATAAATTTATCTTGCAAAAAAAGACTGACATTTTTTGGGATTGAAGATAGCAGTTGAATCAGGAGTAGAGAACCCAACACGGGCTGAAGTTGTTAGTGCACTTCTTTACAAATCTGCAACAAAGGCAGCAGCATCAAGTTCTGCAAATATACAACCATCTAAGTTGGTTCACTACTTAAATGTACGTACTATGATCAAACCTCGTCTACCACGAAGTGCAATTGGAAATCTCTTATCCATGTTCTCCACAGCAGCTACGCAAGATATTGAGTTGCCAAGATTAGTTCATAATCTAAGGAAGGAAGTTGAGGTAGCGTACAAGAAAGACCAAGTTGATGAAAATGAACTGGTCTTAGAAATAGTAGATTCCATGAAAAAAGGAAAATTACCATTTGAAGAAAAAGATGAAAATTGTACTACTACTACTATGTATTTTTGCAGCAACCTTTGCAAATTCCCATTCTACAGTGTAGATTTTGGATGGGGAAAACCTGAAAGAGTGTATCTAGGAACTGGTCCTTTCAAGAATTTCTTCTTCTTGAAAGATTACCAAACTGGGCGAGGCGTGGAGGCGCGAGTGATGTTGCAGAAACAACATATGTCTGCATTTGAATGCGATGAGGAACTCCTTGAGTTTGCCTCCTCCTCAGTTCCAAGTCTTTAATTACGAGGAGTTTGAAATCTGCATTTCTGTTTCGTTGTATGACTTTGCATGTTTATTTGGTCCCTTAATATTATTACTAAGTGGAATACGTCCCTTTTATTTTGTTTACTTGATTTGTTTGATTTTTCTGATATGTAACTCTCACTCAATATATAATTTGTAATTGTATGTTTCATCTATAACGACCCGGTCGGTCGTTTTGAGAGTAATAGTCCCGATCTCCCTATTAACTGCTTTTCCCATATCTATTTCTGCTATTGAGACTTGTCGGGATGATTGGTTTTGAGTTTCGGAGTGTTTTGGGACACTTAGTCCCTAAATGATAGCTTAAGCCTTAGGATTTGGTCCGTAGTCGGAACTGTGTGAAGACGACTCCGGAATGAAATTCCGTCGATTCCGTTAGCTCCGTTAGGTGATTTTGGATTTAAGGGCGTGTCCGGATTGTGTTTTGGAGGTCCGTAGCTCATTTAGGCTTGAAATAGCGAAAATCGAATTTTTAGAGTTTTGGGCCGGTTGTGAAGATTTTGATATCGGGGTCGGAATCTGATTCCGAAAGTTGGAATAGGTTCATAATATCAAATATGACTTGCGTGCAAAATTTGGGGTCAATCGGACGTGGTTTGATAGGTTTCAGCATCAGTTGTAGAATTTTATAGTTTCAAGTTCTTTAAGTTTGAATTGGAAGGTGATTCGCGATTTTAGCATTTTTTTTGATGTGGTTTGAGAGCTTGACTAAGTTCGTATGGTGTTTTAGGACTTGTTGGTATATTTGGTTGAGGTCCCGGGGGCCTCGGGTGAGTTTCGGATGCTTAACGGATCGCTTTTGGACTTTGGAAGATAGCAGATTTCTAGTGTTCTGTTGCAGGCATTTTCTTCATCGCGTTCGCGAGGGAGTCCTCGCATTCGCGTAAGGTATCTGGGAAGGGCAGCTGAATTACTATTCGCGTCCGCGATGTCGCTTTCGCGTTCGCGAAGGTGTGGAACCTCGAAGCTACACGTTTGCGATATGGTCCTTTCGTTCGCGAAGAAGAACTGGAGGCTGGCGAGATTTCGTGCTTCGCGTTCGCGATGGAGATCCCACATTCGCAAAGGGTCAAGATGAGTGGTCTTCACGATTGCGGCATGTGCATCGCGTTTGCGATGGAGGATTTTTGGGCCGAAGTAAATTGTACTTCGCGAACGCGAGGGTATGGCCGCGTTCGCGAAGAAGGACGCGTCTGGGCAGTATTAAAGTTCCAAAAACGGAGGTTATGCCATTTTTATCAAAAACTTAAGTTGGGAGCTCGGATTTTGGACGAGGGATTGAGGAATTTTCAGAGATATCGATTGGGTAACGATTCTTAACTCCTTTATGGTTATATTCCACTAATCTATGCTTGAATTCATCATTAAATTTCGGATTTGGGGTGAAATATTGAGAAAAATTCTTAGGCCGAATTTTGGGGTTTTGATCAAGATTTTGGTATCGGATTTGAACAATTTTGGTACGAGTAAACTCGGGAGTGAATGGGTGTTCGTATTTTGCGACTTTTACTCGATTCCGAGATGTGAGCCCCACAGGCGATTTTTGAGTTAATTTCGGAATTGTTGTTAAAATATTGATTTCATTAATTAGATGAGTCTATTATGGTTGTATTTATGATATGTAATTGCTTTTAGCTAGATTTGGGCTATTGTGAGTCGAATATTCGTGGGAAAGGCATTGTGACCGATTGATTGAGCTTGATTCGAGGTAAGTGGCTTGCCTAACTTTGTGTTGGGGAAATTTCCTTAAGATTTGAAACTATTGTGATATGTGAGCGCCGTGTACGTGAGGTGACGAGTACGTACACTGGCTAGTTGTGGTAAAAACTCGATTTTCTTACTGAGCAGCAACATGTTTTCCTGTTATTTTGAGTTATACCATTTTAATGAGTACAAATCTATTTTATTCTTAATTAAGTTATTCTAATATGTGTAGCTATCATGTTTAGCCTATTACAATATGTCTACGTATCTTAATTGTTTATGTGAATTATATGCAACATGCTTAGTGAATTTCCCGCTCATTCCCTGACTGGTACCTAGCCTAAATTGTAAATATTTCGTGATGTAGTTGTATTTCTATCTTTCGCGCTGCATATTTACTTTGGGACTACGGAATGGTATTCCGGGAGATCCCCCTGTCTTGCATATTTAAATTGGGACTACAGACATATTTCGGGAGATCCCCCCGTCTTGCATATTTAAATTGGGACTTCGGACGTATTCCGGGAGATCCCTCTGTCTTGCATATTTATTTTGGGACTACAGACGTATTCCGGGAGATCCCACAACACTACGTATTTACTTTGGGACTACAGACGTATTCCGAGAGATCCCCCTGTACTGCATATTCATTCGGGACTACGGAACGGTATCCCGAGAGATTCCACATTGTGTATACCTTGTTCGGAGCTGAGGGTTCCCTTGACTGTTAAATTTCTTTGAATATTTTCTTAAACTGTTTACCGTAAAACTTACTTTTATCTTTTTACTGTTTAATTTATTATATCTATTCCGGTAGGGCCTTACCCTGACCTCGTCACTACTCGACCGAGGTTAGGCTTGGCACTTACTGGGTACCGATTGTGGTGTACTCATGCTACTCTCTGCACATGTTTTTCGTATGCAGATCCAGGTGCACCTTATCAGCCGCACTATCAGTGAGCCGGGACAGCTTTGTAGACTTCAAGGTATATCTTCCGCGTCCGCAGACCTCGGAGTCCTCTTCTATTCTTTCTCATGTCCATTATCTTTTGTATTTTTCCTTGTTAGACTCTGATGTATAGAGACACTAGATTTTCTTTCCTGTAGTTTGTGATTCACGATGTTCCGGGTTTTGGGATTTGTTGTATATTTTTGAATAATTGGTTAAATTCATATATTTTTTTTATTTCATTATTCCGCAAAATGTTAGGCTTACCTAGTTGTATAGACTAGGTGCCGTCACGACGTCACACGGATGAGAAATTAGGTCGTGACAAGTTGGCATCAGAGCTCTAGGTTCGTAGGTTTCGTGAGTCACAAACCGGTTTATTAGAGTCTCGCGGATCGGTACAGAGACATCTGTACTTATCTTCGGGAGGCTATGGAACTGTTAGGAAATTTTTATTACTTTTATTCCCTGTCGTGCGAAAATTGTTGACTTCAAAGATTCTAAACTTTTGTATTCTATTCTCTCACAGATGGTGAGGACACGTACAAGCGAATCTGATGACTAGGTACCCGCACCCCTGCTAGAGCCGCGAGAGGCCGGGGTAGAGGCCGAGGACGTCCACGTGGTGCAGCCAGAGCACCCGCACGAGGTACTACAGAAGAGCCCCTAGTAGCTCAAGCTGGAGAGCAGACACCTGAGATACCTGTTGCTGCACCAGCCCTCCAGGAGACTCTAGCCCGGTTTCTTAGCATGTTCAGCACCTTAGCTCAGGCTGGATTGATTCCACTTGCTCCTGCCATATCTCAAGCCGGGGGAGGAGCACAGACTCCCGTCGCCGGTACTCTAGAGCAACGGGTTCAGGTCGACCAGGTTCCAGAGGTTGTACCAATGCAGCCGGTAGCTCCAGCTCAGCCC